AATGATAAGAGGTGGTCGACATTGACATTTCGACAAATGAAATTTTGTATCCTATCGTATATAGCTACCTCCGGGAATGGAAAGCAATACGTTCCGAAACGTTGGGTCTAAATTCTCACGCAAAGTTGTTGAGTTTAATTACTCACATTTGAATTTTTTAATAATTTTTATAGCACCGTAATGCCAAAAATTCTTCCAATGATTAGGTAAAATTTGGGGCAAAAAATCCCACTATTCTGTAGATATTTATATTCTAATATTAAAATACTGATGTAAATATGTTATTGTTAAATATGATCCTTACGATATTCGATATGATTAATCTACGTATATTGATGATAATTGATAGGAAAGAATCCCACATTATAAGAAAATACTCTGTAATTATTGAAACAGCGTCGAAACCAAATACGTTAAATATAAATATATATCCCACTTGAAATTTCTATCTCATTATACTCATCATTATCATGATATAGTTTAGTGATCATTATCTTTTATATTCGTGACATTTTATGACTTTTTCACGTTTTACCATATAATATAGGTCATGTTACCATAGTGCATGGTAATCTCTCCTATAAACTATGGTAAACTTTACCAAACGACTATAGGTCTCTTTACCATAATTAATAGTACACTCTACCCTGTAACATGGTAGAGGGTACTATTCAATATAGTAATTTCTCCTATGTTCATAGGCTTCATTCCCATCGAGAGACTTACTATCGCCCATAGTATGTAATACCATACCCCATAGGAATGATTACCATAGCATAGTAATGCTTCCTAAATTTTAGAAATACATACAAGTCGTAAATTTGACATGAGACTCTTTCCCATGGCTCTTCTCTCCGTGCATGATTCTGATAAAAAAAATTCGCCCATAAATTGATAAAATCCAGCAGCCACTGAATTCCATGAACAACCATATCGCAATGCAGGATTGTGCACACGCACTAACAATTTAGTTGTCACCTCGGCATAAATGTATTTTTTCCCACGTTCAATATAAGCTCTTTGTACGTGTACAGCACCCCTGCATTTGACCACATACAGGTTCACTAAGCCATGAAAAAGTAGTGAAAAATAAAAAATTGCCAAATGGAAAAAAATAAAACTGAAAAAAATTCTACAATTTAGATACGAGTGGAGAGGCAGTGAACGTTTTTACGGATTGGTAAACCAGGATTCACCTCGCTCATTCGCTGAGGTCAGGATACTGGTTGGGCCAGAAGTGAGGCTCGACGAATTTATTGGTTTTGGGTTTTTGGATGGAACGTAACGCACCACTGGGACATTGAATGGACGGGAAGTGACAACGCGAGGCTCGTAAATTTGCAATAATTTCGACATAGTCAACGTTCCGTTTGTGAGCGCGTGCCATAGTCCATCAGGCCAATGGGCAACTGGACTTGCAGTTGAGTGAGAATGAATTTTTTTTTTCGAGGGGACTGGACGAGTTTGGAAAAACGATGGACCTATTAAATTAGGTGGAATATGCATTCTTTGGATTTTGATTGGAAAGCTTTTTTGGGATTCCATTACGAATGAGTGGATGATTGCATGAAATTCATGAACTGCGTTTTGAGTGGATACATTTTTGCTGGTGAAAAGATTACTCTTTAAATTTCAAGCAAAGAATCTTTAAATTTTTAACAACAAATAATTTACGTGGAATTTCCATTGATCTTGTTATTCGTAAATCAGTTAATTTGCTTGAATATTCAATGAACTTTCATTTCTCAATTTCATACGACAACGAAAACTACTGAAGATCGTGAAAATTCAGGCAACTTTTCTTCTGAATTTTCAATCTGTTGAAAATTCAATTGGATGTATTGCGTAATTTTCACGATAGGTTTGAAAATCCAAATTGTCCTTGAAACTTCAATGATCATTCATCAGGGAAAACTTAATTTTATTGAATTCCCAAGATGAATCAGGAATTCCATGAGCAATTTAGTTTGAAATTGAATTCGAGTTTAGAATATGGGGAATTCATCTGCATTTGTTACTCAAATTTCAAAAAAAATTTAACAGTGCACGGAGAGAAATGTTCAGTAAAAATTACGCAACTCACAATTCACTCACCGATTACGAAATCGACTCGGCAAATTTAAGTGACGGTATCGTAATCTTTCACAGGAGATTCAGATAAAAATTACGGAATGCTCCGGGAAAATTTCGTGACAGTTCCATAAAATTTCCTACAACCACATTTCGCTCCGGAATTACGGAAAAGAATCGTAAATTTTATTGAATATTTCTCTGCGTGTAGTGAGATTTTTTGATGATGTTGCCGTAGTGTGGGTGCGAGTGGGATACGGGGTATCAGTGGAGTAGGTATGACTCATTAGCAGAGACAAGAAACGCGCCCCACTAAAATTATCTGGGAACCAGTTGCTGAAACCAAAACCCAGTTTTCGACGCGAGCAACATCATTTTTCGTACATTTTTTCTCCGTATACCCGGAAAATCAGAGCCCATGTAATGAATTATTTTTTCACCCAGTGCCTCCATTTTTTTCGGTGATGAGTGTTATATCCGGAGATGTCAAGCGTCGAAGGACAGCGTTGAGATTAATCTATGGTCAATATCTCCATGTCTTTAGCCAGAATTCACAATAGAGAAGAAGCGGAGTTACATTTCTATTGTCTTCATTTTTTTTCCAAAAAATAAATCGCTTAAATTGTGATACTGTGATATTATCATTAGTTTTTATACATTATTAATATAAACGCAATTTATTGGAGTGTTATTGGAGATGTTTTTGTTTGGTTTGTCTAGATGTAAAACTATAACAGTAGCATCAAGGAAATAAAGTATTCTATTCTATTCTATTGTACTACAGAAATTTCAGATTTCACTGAAAGTTCAATGTAATTTGGCACTGAATATTCATATTAAATTAGAAATTCAAATAAATTAAAGAATTCTCGTCCTCGTGCTGCTTAAAATTCTGGAATTTAACAGAATTTTCAATGAAACGTGAAATTTCATTTTTTTTTTAACAGTGTATTATGGTCTATCGGTTTGCGTAACTAGTACATTAACTAAACACTTATGTTCTCTTTTTTTCATTGGCTCGAAAAAGGAAGTTGATTTTCGTTTAAGGTATACAACTACCCAAACCCAATTGAAACTTGTCCGGACGATCACTTCTAGATTCCCACTAAAAGTCACCAGTTTGTCAAAATGCCAAGTGCTGTTTCATTAGATAGGAGCCCGGCACGAAAGACCAATTTTGCTAATCCTTTCCGCCTAAGAGATGTTAGCATTTCGAAGATTAACTGGCAACTGGTGTTTCGGTCTCCGATTTTTTTTTTGATTCGAGAGGCGCGATAACAAAAGGCGTTCGTTGACGTGTTCGGGTCATTGTTCGCACGGGCATTGAAAGTTACGAGGAATCGTGATGTGTTGGTCTTAAAAGATTTCGACTTTTATGTTGAAAATTGTTTCCAATCAGTTCGCAAGAACGCGCTCTTTGCTGTACTCCTTATCCGATGAAATTTTGAATTGTAGAAATATTAAGAGTTTATGTGAGAATCGATTTTGGACATTATATATGAGACAACGTTGCCGAAATCATTACTCTGTTCCACTCCATTCCAGGGAATGAGTACGACATTAGGGTTGAAAATCGAAGAATATTTCGAAAATTTGAAATAATAATAATTCTTTTCAGTAAAATATAATTTTTTTTAATAATATTTTGATTAGAGCCAACTTCACACTAAATTCTGTTTCAGGACGCGGCTCCAGACAATTTTAGGGCTCTTTTCTTGCCCTGCTAGTGTGACGTAGTAGGGCAGTACTGAAGTATTTACACGTACTAGTAGTTTTTAGTTGTTTTTTTGTGACGCGCTAATCAATTAATAAAGAATAATTTAATTATTCTTTGTTTTGTTATTTTCACTTTAAAAATTTTCCCCTGCTAATTAAAACATTCTTGAAGGTTTGAAAGTCATCGTATCCCCTTTTACGTTATTCTTTAATTTTACATCCTACCACGAAACTCGAATTTCCGTTAACCGTCCATCAATTGGCCTATTCAGTTGTTTTGTTTTCATTTTTACACTGATAGAGTGATTCATTTATTCGAAACGAGATTCTATAACTATTAACGAATGGTAGAGTTGAATATGACCAAATGAATATTCGTTAATAGTTAACGAATGGTTCACTTGAAAAGTGAACATTGAGTCAAACAAGGCTCCAAATGTGAATTTGTTGACTATTAATGAATGAACATTTGGTGAGACCGAATAGACCCTCGTCTCCAACCAAATCCATTCGTTCATAATAACTAATCGTTTTTATCAGTGTATTATCAAAGTTTATTCTTATATTTCTGCAAGCAATCCTTCCATCGCTATTCGGGGAATTTTCTTCCCGTACATCTCATTTTTTCTAAAAAAATTTTCTAAAAAAATCCATAACTTTCTGAAAAATACACGAATTTTCTCGAAAACTCGATCATTTTCTGAATTTTTCCATAAGATTCTAGAATATTGCACATGCCAAAGACAGACCGCTTTCTAACCGAATGAAGTGAACTTGGAATTCGCAATTTTTCCGTTGTCTGGACATAAAATAATGAAGTAATCTCTCAGCTAATTGCAAATGTCATAAAAATAAATGTATATATAAATGTTTCCAAACAGCAAATTAGTTTCGTAATTGCAGTTCTCACACGAGAGGAACTCCCCCCGAGGTGTACGAAATTTCTTTCTCTCCTTTCGTGCTCAACTCGTGTAAAATTTCAACTACGCGACTCGTAGTCGAAACGTCTCTTTCATTTCCTTCACACGTGTCGCTTTCTTTACCTCTCTGAGACGATGAAAAAAAAATCAGTACACTTTATTTCTTCCCACCCGGTTTCTCACCTTAATTGACACTGATATTAGAAAAGTTAAAGCTGTACTGGTGGGTTATAACATCCAATTGAAGCAGAAAATAAATGTGGAAATGAAGGGAAAAATGATTGGAATATTTACCTTGTGATACCAGCTGAGCTTTGAAGCACTGGGATTTGCTCTGACGTTACACTCGAAATAAACATCATCTCCCTCTTTGATAACATCGGGATTCAATGAGGAGCCCATTCTGAGTGTCACCACTGGCTTATCTGGACATATAATCATAAAAGTTTCTTTCAATGGCTTAATAGTCATAAATTTTAACACTGTTCATGCCAGGAAATTACGTTACGCGGGAAACAATTGAAGCAAAAATTGAAATCGGTGGGGAGCAATGGTTTCACTTTAACCCTCTTATACTCGCAATCTTATCCCCACTAGCTATGGGGGCCGACCGTTCGATGTGGAAAGGGATGAGTAGCGAGTGCGTACAGTGCCGTAGTACTAAACGCAAGTTTGAATGCATGAGTCCCAAATATAAAAATTTTTAACAAAAAATTTCTAACAAGTAACATTTCCACTGAAATTTCGAGGAATTTTGTCATTGAAAATTCATAATTTTATTGCAAAATCCGTGGAAACTGTCAATTTCAGTTTCATTATTCCGGGAAAATTAATAAAAAATCAGGAAAAATGAGAAAAATCTCTTCTTGAATTCCAGGTTCCTCTGAATTTTCGGGGAATTCCTTAAAATTTCCTGGGATTCCAAGAATTTTACAGAAACTCACTGAAAATGCAAGGAAATTTGGCAGTGAGTATTCATTTTCACTTGAAAATTCATGTAAATTGTGGAATTTTCGGTTTCCTACCGCTAAAAAATTGAGAATTTACTTGAATTTTCAGAGAAACTTGGAATTCCATTGACTTTTTCCCCTTAGATCGATTTTAAGATCATTTCTCGGAAAATTCAGCCAAATTTCTTAACAGTCCATTGCAATAACTACTCGATATAAATAAAAAATTCAGAGGTGCCATAAAATATCCCGATTACTAAAACTGCCAAAATTTACTCTGAATTCACATACCGAAGCTACAATGTAACCCACTAAACCACACAGTGTCCCAATAATTGTTCCCGAAAATCAGCCCAATAACCACTGACAAACTGCATAATAAAACTTTTCAATTGTCCATGTAGTTCTAAATAGCAAGATGAATAGACATAACAACAGGGCACCCGGCCGAAAAGGTAGATGGAGACCGGAGGGCGAAAGGGGTTAAGTAGCGTAGTGAGTAGAGGGGTTGGAGAATAGGCTAGAAACGTTAGCTCTGCATACGTCTTGTTAGCCCTCTCTACCTAACTGAAGAGGAATGCAGGACCGGTATGTGTGGTTCACTTGGTAGACCGAGCCGGCTTATTTTCATTATGCATGTACTTTCCGCGAATCGTGTACACGAACTCAACCGTCAGCCTGCTACACATCCCTTGTTTTCCCCCGTGTATTTGCCCTCAATTCCTCCACCTATCCCTCCACCATTCTCCCATTTTCCTTCACACGGTCCAAACGAATTTCCATGCAGAAAAATAATTCCACGAAGAAACAACATTTTCTGTTGATTTTACTTTATTCATTTCTCGCCAAACATCTCTCTTCCACTTTTCTCATTATTACATAAAAGTAAAAAAAAATTAACTTGGCATATATTCAGTTTGGCAGAGGTTATAATCCTCAAACAAAACTAAAGAATAGCTCTCGAAATAAAAAGGAAAAGAAGGTATAAATTCGGGGAAAGAGTTACGTGGACAGTGTGTCGATTCAATTTATCAAGAAACGATCTTCGTGGCCAAACTTAAGTCGATTCAACCATTCTTATCCCTCTTTCTGAGAAGGGGGAATTCGTAAAAAAAGGTCACTACGAATCTGATACCCTTCCCGACGCTATCATTTCCCCTTCGTCGACAATTCCGTACAGATTCTATTCGCTGGCTCTCACGTATTGACAGGATTCCTTCCCTTGCCAGATTTTTCTCTCTCCAAAAACTTCTTATATTCCAACATTTTTGTTCTTTTTTTTCTCGACCTCTGTTCATTTTCGATCTTGGCTTCAACTATTCTCCCATTTTCTTGCAGAATTGTCAGGGGATGAGTGAATTATTCAGGATGAAGGATGGAATGAAAATTGCTTCATTTTAAAATAATTCAGGGCGTATATTGGATTGATAAAAAAAATATATGAATGCCAGTCAGTGAATGGGGAAAGGGAATTCATTGAAGAGAGCCTCGATGCAGGGATTTTAGGACGGAGATCTTCAAATCCTGTCGAATTGTACACTGATAGACTGATTCATTTATTCCAAACGAGAATTCGTCAACTATTAACGAATGGTAGAGTTGAATATGACCAAATGAATAGTCGTTAGGAGTTAACGAATGCTTCACTTGAAAGATGAAAATCGAGCCAAACAAGTCTCCTCAAATATGCATTTGTTAACTATTAGCGAATGAACATTTGGGAGACTGAAAGGACTCTCGTCTCTAACCAAATCCATTCGTTAATAATAACTAATCCTTTCTATCAGTGTATAAGGCTTAGTTCCTGCGCTTGGTTTGTTTATGATTCTTATGCCAAACAGTGAGACAAAATGACCAGTTTTCAGTTGGCAGTCACTTCGATGAGCGAAATTCAACGGCGAACCTTATGATATTTTCAGGTTTTTATTTTCTGTTATTCTGAAGAGATAATGTTCGGTTATTAACCAAATATTCACACACACACACACACACACACACACACACACACACGTGCAAACACTCTTTCCGCTCACAGGTACGCATGACCTACTCACAGCGGATTTGCTCTCTCACCTCGGATGACCCATGACTTTCGATTTTTAGCACCTGAGGCGCCACTTGATGGAGTAGTGTCGTGCGAACCCCCTCATTTTAATTGGGCCACGCTGACACCTCTTATATACCAAGAATTGAATTAAAGTCGTTTTTAATCGCCAGTACTGGGCCAGAGACAATAGTTTCTCGAGCATTTCTTTTGTCGAGAGGCCATGACGTCTTGGGCGTCACCCCATGTCGGCATGCCGTGATGATAACTCCATGCGAACGAGCCCAATGGAAACTGCTGATGACGTTCCACTGGCTTATTTTTTATTGCGAAAATACGGGTCTTTCAATGCACGTCTATTCCGATTTTTATTCATATTTCTTAATTTTAGGTTTTGATTCTAAAACATGTACCACTTACATTTGTCCATATTTCAGAACAAGATGGCAAATTATGCTCCACTTTTTGAGGCATTACAATACATTTTATATATATTTATCGTCTAATTCATTTCTGTCGCATTCCTATTTGTCGGATATAACTATTTCTATGCAGATTGAACTCGGACAATACTCAAATCTCTCAATTCATATATTATACTGAAATTTCCCGTTACAGGCTCACAGAATCCATGACAATTCATCATTTAAAATGATAAAAAATATTATGAATGATATTCTCGAATTGCTGATAAATGTTTTCATAAAATTAAATTACATCGAATATCTATTTCGTTGCGCCCAAACAGTTACATTTTCAATTCTGTGATATCATCTAACTCAAATCAGAGCTAATACTTGTTAGAACTGGCGAAACCCTAGTCCAACTCTTGCCTCTTGCTGATTTTTCTACTTAGCCAAGAATAAATTGAACTCCTTGTCTTGCATGGTTAACTTCTCCAGTTCTTGATTCTACTTCGATGTAGATAAAAATTGGACACATCTCTTGGAATTCTCACGAGACTACTATAGACACAGTGGACAAGATCCCTTTGAGAATTCGATTCATCAAAGTCTCGATGGAGTACCGAGGGGATGGGCTGGACAAGCATAAAGTGGAGTGGATGGCTGAATGGATGGAGTTTATCCAAAGGAGTTGGTTTGTGAACTCCTCTCTCAGTGGATCACGAATGAGACCTCGGGAATGGCCATACCGACGTATATCCAAGAGCTCAGGCACTTGGGTTGGTACCACACGATATGAATTTTGCAGCGTGGACCGTGAGGAATAGATCGGCATGATAACCGTTGGAAATTCTCTATCTACGTTCTGTGGATCATGGGTCTGTATATGGGTATACCCGGGGTATCTGGCTGGCTTGCTTGAGACCCAACGGGATGTGTCTCATTGTCTGATGACCCGATTGATATCGGCGATGCAGTGCGATATTTTGAGGGATAGGAGGAGATTAACTAAATTGAATTTTCTGCGGTGAAATGTACTCAATAGAATATTCCCTTATTCGTGTGTTAAAATGTTGTAGAATTTGCTGTTAAGGTTTTGTTTAAATTTTCATTTTACATAACTTGGAGTGTACGCGGAAAAAAGAGTCTTGATCTTCAGGGATATCTCACTATAACTTTCACGAATTTATCCCCAATTATTAAGGCTTCGCGATTGTGGAATTCAGAGGGTGCACAATTCTGATATTCACTAATTTTGTCACTAAGCAATCTCTGAATTTCACAATCGTGAATCTCGAATGATTGGGGATAAATTCCTGAAATTCAGTGATATGTTCCTGAACCGCAAAACTATTTTTTCTCTGTGTATCGTGGAAGTACCAGTACCCGACAGTATGGGAGTATCCGACATTCGAGCCCACTTTCCTTGATTTTTCATTTTTTTTATATTTCTCAACTAAAAAGCACCCTCTTTCAATAGTCAATAAGAAGAGAATCTTTTTTCTGTGAATTAAACTGCGAGTTTTTGAAAAACAGTTCTGTAATTTTTCCCTAACGATTGAGAAATTTTACGGAACGGAACGTAGAAATAATTCACCAGTTTCATAAAAATTGTTGAACGTTCAAGAATTTTCAATTTTGGAGGCATAATAAGTCGGGAAGTTTCTGCAAGATTTTACTTCTTCGGGAAAAATTACGTGACAATTTCGTACTTTGTTCGGTGTTGAACCTGAGAATTAACTGAACGTTTCAGATTTCTTCTCTTCCATTCCTATAAAAATTGCCGGAAAACGATTCCCCATTGCGGATTACGTGAATTGTTCCGCAATTTTTACTGAATATTTCTCTCCGCACAAAGAATACCATGTGACTATAATTCTTTATCCGAAATCGGGGTTTGGGATGTGACAATTATCATTATTCCGTAGGTGAGCGGTACAGGCACCACTTCGTACTTCCCCTAATAGAGAAGGGATCGGTGGTGGCGGTCGTGGGAGGTGGTTGATCCGTTGGAAGCTCGTCAGTTT